GGAAAACTGATCTCTCTATCATCATATAAATTGATCTCTGTGACTTGGCAAGGAGTCAGAGCAGTGATGATAATGACCCTGTAAGAGTATTAGACTTAATACCCTGAGGCATTAACCTTTGTTTAACCAAAAGGTAAATCTTTTGATGAAAGACAACATTTTATTACTATCCACCTGCAACAAATAGCTCATTTCTTACTGCTATAACTCAGCTGCCGGTACTGAAGAGCAAAACTTGCACTTTACATTCCGAGGCTCCTGAGTAATTCACATTGAGGTCATGGATCAAAACTGATTATATAGTGATGATGATCAAGTCCTGCGAGGTGCTATGCCCTGAATAGAGGGGTAAATGTAGCAGCTGAAACTGCAAACTACCCCCAGTAAAGAATACTAACCAAGATGCAGGAGGAGGGTAGGCAAACAGGAAAGATGTTCTTGGCTTGTGGGGTAGTACTGATCCTTTCAGTCACCCCATTATTAATTTTTTCTGCAACATTATTTTTAATAATTTTTCAGAAAAAAATCTTTTTTTGTTTTTTAAGAAATAATTTTCTACATAAAACTGAGTGGTCACTTTTATCTCCATTCAGAAACAGCTAAAAATTCTAGCGTTGGTAGTACTTTTCCATGGAATTTAAATTAGTGTATAGCAAGATTATGTTGCCAAAAGCCCATCAAGTGCAATCTCATTCCAATCACCACTGTTTGCTCCATCTTCAGCAGTCTGTCATGTTTTGAGAGCACCCCATTTTTAAGCAAACATAGTAAGCCAGCATTATTTCAGGTATTTCCTTGCATATTTCTCTGCCCTGTAAGATCAAGTTCCACACATAAGCATGTGCCCCTGCATTGTCTCATGACAAATGGTTTTCTGTGGTGCTCTGAATATCCAGCCTTGGTTACACCTCCTCAGTTTCTACCACAACACGGTCTCAAGTTTTGATTTTCTTGCAGCAGAGTTTATTTTTCTTTATTGAAAGCAAATGTCATTGGGGCCTTTGAAATCCTTGTGTCTACATGGCAGGTCACACAAAACAGCACTGCTTTCCAAATTTAATATTCTTTAATGTATTTGTTAACAGAACATTGACATCTGCTTAATGCTTTCTTTGCAAGAATCTATCAGATCTCCCCTCATGCATTTCTTGTCAACCTCAGCTCTCAGTTTCTGCATTTACAAAACAGGACGTGAAGTAAGAAACAATACAGCTCAAAGTTCCAGAGCTAAAATCTAACATAAACCCTTTTTCCAAAAAATATTATTTTGAGAAATGCATCTGCCCTTTCAAAAGCTTTGAATCACGGTCATCTCACACACTGAGCTGCTGTTTAAACAAAAGCCACCCACTTTTTGTAATGCTACAAAGCAGAGAAAAACAATGAACTGAGGGATAGGTAGTTGATACATAGCTATCCTTTTCATGCCAACACTTCCAGCAACGCTCCAGCGTAAATCAGGTGCCTCATTGGAGAGAAATTTGGCAGCCTAAAAAGAAACAGCAGCAACTCAAGGGTGTTTCTGAACCAAACGTATAAAACCAGTCTCACATACTGTAAAATCTTACCTGGTGTTTTTAACCCTTGGACTTCCATGGGTTTTTTTTCATTTTCTCAAAACAAAGGAATGTGAGAGAGATGTCTGTTAAACTCCTTTACTCAGCCCAAGGGTTAATTACTCAGTTTTGTAGACATTTGAAAATATTATGCTACCTCTAATGGCCAAATTGATAGAAGCTTGTTTCAGGTTCACTTTATGTCATTATGGCAGATTAAATTAACTAATCATAAATTATGCTGGCTAAAGTACATCTGCTACTCACTAAACCTGCAGACAGAAGGGAAGACTTTTTCTACTGAATAAGAAGTAAATGCCATGCACAAAATTAAAGACTTTTACAAACCAACAAACATACGTTCAAGCAACACAAGCTGGAAGCATCCCAAAGTCAGCAGCAACAGATTCTGAGGACCATGGCAGCAGTCTAACAATGAACATGTAGCTGCTGTGGAAAAGCATCAACACTGCAATGCTGCAGGGGTATACCCATGGATCAAAGAGTAAAGAGGTCCATTAAAGAATAAAGAAGATCAATTAAACAAGAATTAGCATGCTCACATTATTGCTAGAGGTCTTGGAATACAATATGACTGTAGTGGGTTGACTGTGGCTAGATGCCAGGTACCCACCAAAGCCCTCTGTCACTCCCCTCTGCAGAAGGACAAGGGAGGGAAAATGTAATGAAGGGTTCATGGGTTGAGATAAGGGCTGGGAGAGACTGCTCACTAAAAATCATCACTGTGAAAACAGGCTAGAATTAGAAATGTTAATTGAATTTATTACTAACAAAATCAGGGCAGGATAATGAGAAAAAAAAGGCCTTAAAAACACCTTCTTTCCAGCCCTCCCTCCTTCCCAGCTCTACCAACCCCTCACAACAGCCCAGCAGACTGGGAATGGAGGCTACTGTCAGACCATCACTGGTTGTTCCTGCCACTGCTCAGGAAGAGGAGCCCTTCCCCCTGCTCCAGCTTGAGGTCCCTCCCATGGGAGACAGTTCTCCATGAACTTCAGCATGAATTCATCTCATGGCAGTAGTTATGCACAAACTGCTCCAGTGCCATTCTTTCAGGCAACGTGGTCCATCAAGGACAAGCTGCTGCAGTGTGAGTCCCCCACAGGATCACAAGTCCTACCAGGATACCTGTTCCAGCATACGTTCCTCTCCACAGGTCTGCAGGTCCCACCAGCATGAGCTTCCCATAGGACCACAGTGTCCTCTCAGGCATCTGCTCTGGTGTGGGCTCCTCCACGGGCTGCAGGTGGATCTCAGCATCCCCATGGTCCTCCATGGGCTGCAGGGGCACAGCTGCTTCACCACAGTCTGCACCATGGGCTGCAGGGGAATCTCTGTTCCACCACGTCCTCCCCTCCTTCTCCACTGACCTTGGCTGGTGTCTGCAGGGCTGCTCCTCTCACATATTCTCACTCTGCTCTTTCCTGGCCACAATTACAACTGTGCAATAGCTTGCCTGCCTTTTTTTTTCTATTCAAATATGTTATCGCAGTGGTGTTACCACCATTTCTAATTGTCCCAGCCTTGGCCAGTGTTTGTCCATCTCAAAGCCACCAGGGAATGGTGCTGATAGACATGGGGGAAGCTTCTGGCAGCTTCTCACAAAAGTCATCCCCGTAGCTGCCCCCGCCATTACCAAAATCTGTCCACACTAACTCAATACAATGCCATGGTGTTTGCAGTCTCTACTTCCAATGTCAGCTCTTCTATTTTCTGTTGAGAGGGGCTAAATACACAATTTCTGTAGTCTTTTAAGAAAGAGATGGATGTATGGATCACTGATCTAGAAGACAACACAGATTTTATAGGGATCCTCTTCTTACTCTCTGTATTGCAGAATGCAGATGTGACAGCTAGTACTGTGTCAGTGGGACTAAATTCCTTAGCAGGACAGGAAAAGCTGAAGTTAGAGATGTGTGAGAGGAATGGATAGAAAACACAGGCACTCAAGACCTCTTGCAAAGTAAAGAATGAGTCCTTCTCTGAAAACTCATGGTAGACCAGCTCAATCAATCCCACTAAATGAGGATTTCTTTTGGACTAATATAAGGAAGAAAAGCACTGCTGTATTGTATTACATGCAAATTCACGTATGTAGCTGTCAGTTAAAAATCAGAATGTAGTTTTGAGGTGACCAGATACATTGTTTCTGTATAGGAAACAAACTCTGCTGAACACCTCCAAAAAGATTCCAAGTAAGATGATCAGCCATGTGACCATGTTTAGAGGGAGGGTAAACAAAGTTTTGACACAGCTATTGTGTTCCTTCAGGTCCCACAGAGCCTTATGAAGCTTTGGGGGCATCTGAATTCCGCAAACATAGTTAAAGTACAAATTCTCAACATATTATAATCTTCTGGAAAGGTGCAGCACTTTCTCTTCACCTATTCCCAGGTATATTCTCCATCCATCCCTTGAGGCAGATGAGGTTCTTAGTACCATCTGAGTCTTTTTCCCTCACAGTTCCCTTCCATTTCACATTCTCTGAACAGTATTACCCATACCACCTTCTATGCATGATGCATACAGCTATAAAAAAGTCACAAGGAATGAAATATAGCAACAGGATTTAGAGGAAAGCAGTAAGAAAGAGAATTGTGTCCCTCACAATCATGCAGAAGGCAATGATAAGGTTTAGTCCTGCAGTGGGGAAAAAAAAATCTAAAAACTTTCCCTGAAAATAAAAGAAAGCTTAGATCACCATCAGTCACTGGATAACCTATTTTAAGCCCATCAGAGCCAGTGCGCTGTTCTCATGTTGCTAATTAAAAATGATAGATTCATCAATTAATCTCTCTTCCTGTCCTCTAGCCTTAGTATGAAATTTTTCAAAGGGACAAATGGTCATTAGGTGCCCACAAGTATCATTTCAGCCCTGCAAACTTGTGCCTTTGTCAACATGAACCAGAACCTGTCTCTTTATGCCATAAATGTCAAAAAGAAAACCTTAGCATGCTCTGCCACCCTGACAAACATAACAGATTTATAATGGGGAAATAATCTTGTCCTCTGTACAATGAACATTGCTACATAAATCCTCCCTGGGCTCCAATTCGAACTTGCTCACTGATGAATAAGCCTCTGTTAAATGTGGCAGAGAGAGATGTCCTAGACTTAGTCTCTTGATTGAAACTCAATTGCAATATTACTACACAGCAGTCAGAGATCCTCCACTATTTAGGAAAGAAGCCATGAAAGCAATCTATTTTTATTCACATTGAAATGGAGACAAAGATAAAGGTCCTGCTGTTAGCTTAGTAAAGTGCCAGTCACATAAAGCATGCCAATGACAATGGTTATCCTTTCCTCTTTCAATATAAGTATCGCCAGGCAGAGAAATAGAATTGGGGTGTACAAGGTTAACAAGCCAGCATCATGTTATGAAGCAAGTGATAAAATTGTCTTATAGTTCTTAACTCTGACCTGTTCCAGTGAAAAGCTGCCAAGCAGAATTATGTCATCCTGAACATCTCTCTCAAACTGTTCGATATATGAAGGGATCTCTTCATCTTCAAGCTCTCTGTGAAGGTCACATGCCTTACTGGAGCTGACAGGCATTACAGCGTCCGGAAAATCTTCACTGACGACATGGGCTGCTTGAAACAGAAGTGGCAGACTGTCTCTTAGCAAATGGGAGTTCATTCACTGGTTACTACCTTCTCAGTTAGTATGTTTGGCCCACCAACACTTAAAGTATGAAACAGCATCACTAACACAATTGACAGGCGCCAAGTGCCAGTACCAGGAAAACTGTCCTTGAGTGCAACATCTGAATTCAGGTACAAATTTAGCATGTGCAGCTTGTTCCTTAGGTACTTTTTTAAAGGCATGATCTACATTTCCGCTGGCACTTTACTCACCTGTTAATCTTAGAGGGATTGGGATTTGGAACAACTTTGGCATACCTTCCTGAGGAAGAGGAGTAATAACTGCATTTGAATGGGAGTTTTAGGTGAAGCAACATCAAGGATTTCATCTTCCTTTCAACTCACCCCAAATGATTAGATTCCTTTCCCTAGGTGAATGCATGCAGCTCCTGCCTAATTAATTGGGTCTAGTTCTGCTCTCACCCACAGCATTCCCCTGATTTCACTGCAGTGACATATGCAGAACCAAAGAGTACATGCACCACATAAATAAAAATAAATCTCATTCATAAAGTCGCCTTAAAGAGAAACTTTGTCTTTTTTCAGTTTAATTGATAATGCTATGTTTAAAAAAAAATTAGATCGCCTCATTGATAGCTGCTATAGTACTAATACTAGTTTGGATCATAAATAATGATAACTATTTTTGCTCATCTCCACATTAGGATCACTCAAAAATAACAGATATCAGATTGCCCACCTCTATCTGTCTAGCTTCATATTTCTGTGTGTAGGCTTTTATAGTTTTCTGTGCCTATCTTTTAAAGAAATTGCCATATCTAGTTATTTCCTTCTCTTTGGCCATCCTACAACATGAAAGCAGTTAAAAGAGAGGTTTTTTCTCTCAGTCTCCTTTGAAGTCTTTCATTCTCTAATGAAGACCAGAAAAGGAAAGATAAAACTAAGGCTATTAACATTTCCAGTTTTGCTCAGTGCTCATTGTTTAATGACTTTAATTGTTAAGCCTCCCGAGTACTTAAATCACCTCGGTGCCACCAACACACAGGAAGTAGGGTGGGTTTTCTATTTAATTACAACAGGATACAATACAAAATCATGTTGGGGGAAATGTACAGTAGATATAAACAACCCAAACCATTACCTTAGGGTACACATCTCTTCATGTAGCACTTTACAAACCTAATGAAAAGTGATTTGACCTACAACTATTAACTGCAAAAACAAAACAATATTTACATTTAAATTTACTGTAACATTAAGGGTTTGGCTGGGAGAGAGAAAACCCAGGAAGCACAGGAAAAAGAAACATTGCCAAAAGCAGAAGATGGAGCATCTCTTGTTCCCCTTGATGCTGTGTTGTACACAACAGGCCATATGCTCAGCTGGTATAAATCAGCTGCTTTACTGCTTTCACAGGAGCACTGCAAGTTTACATCCTGGGAAGTCAGTGTATTCAGGGTAGAGCAATAGTCAAAAAGGAAATAAAACCATTTGGTTCAGAAAGATAAACATGAAGCAATTCATCAAAATATACATTTCTTTTTTGTGTTTCTTATTTTTGTGAGGAATCATATCAAGTGAACTCAATTTTGGTGGAAGACACTGGACTCATTAGCATAAATTTTGTCCAAAAAGAGCAAAAGAAGAGAGCATTTTCAAAAGCCTTTTCAAGGAAAGCAACTCTGAAAAATAAAGTAATAAATTACAGTTTAGATTTGAAAAATATTTGATTAAAATATACATATGCTCATTTAAGCACAGTTGCTCATTTGCCTGCATCGGAAACAAGGAGAGAACAGGGTTAGTCCAGCTGATCTGCTCCTTCCATAGTGTCTTTGCAAAGAAACTTCTCAAATTTGGTCAGCATCAGGTTGGTCCTTGCTTGAACTGATCCACAGATTGGAGGACTGAGGTCATGACCCAGAGCAATACTTGACCTAAAGAAAAGCAACCAAATCTTTGCTCTACAAAAGTAGCCAGAGTTAAAATTGTACTACTTTGTACACAGAGGATAAAAGGGCTGAACATTTATTAATGGATTGACAAACTAATTTAAAACTTGCTGCTTGAAGTTGTTAGCATGGGCATGAAAAGTTTTCATTGCTTTGGGTGTACCTAACCCTGAGAGTCATGTTTTTCTTGTAGTTTAAATCACTTCAGCACCGGCTGTACTTGCAGATGCTGGACTGTAATTAAAACAATCTCTCCAGTATTAGCTTGACTGCTTGTGACTTCATTTACTTCTATATTTGTCCATCAGATAGCAGCAGTTTATATACTGAGATGATAATTTAAAGGGTATATTCAGCAGCAGACTATATCTCAGGGTGGGTTTGATGCATAAAGCTGCAACAAACTCCATATGGAAAAATAATTTTGGCTACCTGGTCTAGAAAACCGTGCACAAATTGTATCTAAAAAAGTTCAGTGCTGAAGGCTCATGCACCAAGTTCAGACAACTAAACTAATGCAAAACTTGGCACTTCAATTTTTTAGTTCTTGCCAAAGAACAATACAATAGAAATTACTTTTTATGGCATTCATGTATCATGATTTAAAATGTTAATGGATCACAACTGTATATTGACAAGTATGCAAAGTAAAAATATGTAGTCCATATCTTTAAAAACAAACAACCAATGTTGCCTTGTAAGTTGCCTTATAATATGAAATAACACATACCACGAGAGTGACCAACAGGTTACTCAGCCACAAAATGCTTTAAATATACAATTATATAAATTCTGAACCATGTTCTTTCCTTTGGGGATCATCTATTAATTAGGAATGTATGACTACGTGATTTTTCAGCTCAGTGGCCAAATGAAGAAACGAAGCAGTTCTGTAAGAGTGGAACCAAATGAATCCTAGCTTTCTATGGTTTTTCTGATGCTAATAAGGGTCAAATTCCCATATTAGCTTTTCCCTCGGTGGAGACATTAATAATGCTTGTCTGCTCTGCTCAACTGCCCACTTCCATAAAACTGGTAGGGAAGTCATACCTGTGCGACTTGCTCCCTGTTAAAAAAAGAAATAGTTGGAAGTGACCAACTAGTTCAAATACTGGGAGGGAAAAACACAGGCAGAAATAAATACACCCTGATACATGCACAGAGGTGAAAACTGCACAAGCTTCACGTCCCCAGGAGAATCTCTGTTTTCTGGATTTGCTTCACCCAAGCAAAGAAAAGTAATAAATTCAGCTAGAACAGAGTGCAGCTTCACTCACAGGACTAGCTCTGATACCCATCACGGCACTTTTAAGAAATAAAAGCACTGAGGCACAGCTTGAGACACAGGACAGCAGTGGCCTGCAGTGCGTCCCCCATTTGCTGCCCTCACGCCAGCACAGGGGGCTCTGATGTGCACATGGAGAGTGAGACACTCATGCTGATACATTTTCTTGTACCAGAATTGACATTAACATAGAACAATTGAGATCTTGCTAATAAGTTAAAGATTTTTGCTTAAAGTGTCTGCATGAATTTAGTTGTGATGGTTGCACTTTTTTCTCCTTGCATTTAAAATGAGATAAAACAGGTTTCAAAGACGTTACTGATATGACCAGTGCCAGTTCAAGAGATTTCGCAACTGTAGGCAAATGAAAACATTTGCTTCCTCTAGAACAAAGTTGCTTATAAACTAAATAGTCATAAAACAAGTTGCAGCTCCTGGAGCTCCAGTGCCGCAGGCAGCCGCCGGCTCTGTCTCTCTGACAGAGTAGGCCCGTGTATTGCTGAAATACAAGAGGAAGCCTCGCACAGATACAAAGGACACAAAATAATTTTGTACAAAAGACATCTGCTAAGAAAGGAGGAGGTGCATAAGCAAAAAATACATGGACAGCTCTGAGCTGGGCTTGTACAAATGTCGCTTCTCCTGGGATGAACCAGAGGTGAGCAGCAGACATGGGCCTTGTGTAAAGACTGAGATGGTAAATGTCTCGTGAATCAACCAGGTTTTAAGTAATGCCTTAAATGCCTTAAAAATGAGTGAAATCAAAGTAAGGCTGTTCACTTAAAGTGAAGAAATCTCATATACTTAATTGTTTTTACTGCAAATGGAGCATGAATTTGTATTTTCCAACAAAGGCACAGAAAACACTTTCTCACTCATCTGTTGGTGTAAACTCTTGTATAGATAACCTGGAACAGTGTGACATGACCTGTGGATCAGACAAATTGCCTACCCATTTATCAGCTTAAATAAGGATTTCTATTTCTAGATTTGAGCACATAAGCAGTGATATATCCAGTCTTCTTTAGTAAGTGTGGAATTCAACATGCAGTGAAGCAATCTAGAGAAAGCACGCCACTTAAGTTACAGTTAAAACCACATAAACATGACACAAAACAAAAACATTTGGAGAAAAAGACCTTACAGAATTGCATTAAAATCATCATCCCTTTGACTTCTGAGTTCAAGGGGATGGATTACCCTCTCTCCTCGCCACATGCAGACTCAAAAGAGTTTTATTTTTCTTTATGCAATTGACTTTGTTATTTACCTTGGAAGTCCAGCATCTTGTTTTCTTCATCTAGAAGCTTCATCAGTTTAGAGTAAAGGACTTGCTCATCAAATTTCACAGGATCTTTAAAAAAACAACAGTGAAACAGCTATAGTTTCTTCCAGTAGTATTCAAGAAATACTATTTTAAATTGAAAGTAAAGATATAAAAACACAAAAGTTATGAAGCCCTTTGACACATGAAAATATAATTTTTACAGTGCTAGTTTCATAGCTCAGAATAAAATTACAGTCACTTGTTTGAAGCAAGACAATTCAAAATAAAAAATACAGTCATATACTTTTAAATGGTGGGCAATATAATATGTTGATCTGGACTGAAACTGGTTTATAAATTCTGCTAATACAGTCACTGAAATCACTGTTTATATTCAAATTTACCAGACTAATTCTTTTTGACTCTTAATGAAAATCAAAATACCCAATTTATTCTAACATGATTTTGGATCTTCATTAGAAATTTTACCTTGCTGTGCATGATACTAACACGTTATCTAGTATGCATAGTCATTACAACACTCTATGAATTTTGAATTTGTGGCTGGTTAGTCATTCAAATTTTCAGTAATATCTGCATATTTTAAAAAGCAGCAAAGGACATGTACACTTATCCTTTTCCATGAGACCTGAAAAAAAAATTACTTAAAGGTTCTACATTCAAGGGAGAAATGAGCAAATGGGACCATTTTGTCTCCAGATCTCCCAGACCCTGGCTTCTCTAAGTTGTCAGTGAAGACAGGCAGATAGAAGATCAAAGAAATGCATACAAGGCAGGTGGATTGAAGTACAGCTACATGCAGGCTTGGGTGGCTCTTTTTAAGTGCTCAATAGAATCTCAAAGAATAAATTCCTTTTTCCTATTTCTCAAAGGATAAATTTCTTTTCAGAGGCAAGTTTTTCAGTTACACTGATCTTTCAAAGAGGGTAGTGGCTTCTGCAAAGCTCTCCTGAAAGTATAGAATCTTTTACATTTCTTGCAACATTGAAATGTTCCCTTGGCAAGAGGGCAGTAAATCCATAGTGGGACATTGTTTGCTCTTGGGGCATTATGAACTCATATAAATTTCCAGAACAAATCTAATTTATCAAATACAGGAAAGATAACTGCCAATATTTTCATTTTCAAAGAAAAACCCATTAAATAATAGTTAGTGGCTGAAGATTTGCTTTTCACCAGGTATTCTCTTTGGTCATTGAACCTGGATTCCTAAAGTTCTAAGAAAAGTGTAACTTCAATATGTGCCCTGGCTTCTTCATGTTTTTCTGGTTTCGACTCTTGGCCCTGAGAACCTGCTAGATGGAAAGAAGAGGTAAACCAGTATGGTTTCCAATCAAGGGATGACCATGCAGGACCAAGCTTTAGTTCTGACCCCCCTTTTTTAATCCATCCACTACATACCAATGTCCTTCTAGTAATTTAACACTTCTTCAAGGAAAAAAAAGCCAGACAGCAAGCCTGGTTTATAAGTATTGACAAATCAGACTGCTTAAGGCAGGAAGGCCCAGTTATCCCTGTTCATACAGAGCCAAGGTGCCCAGGACTATGTCCAGGAACCTTTTCAATATCTGCAAGGTAAATGTTTTGCTCTTGGCAGAGGTATTGGTAAATATAGCATTATAACTGCTCTACAGAGGTCCACACAGCCAACGTGAGGCTGGTACTATTGCTATTTGACTTTTAATAAGCAAGAGTTATCCCAATATTTGAGCAGCATTTTTGCCAGGGAGAAAAAGGAGGACCACCAAAAGAGCTCTTCACACATGGACCTCAGGTTTAGTATGATGTGCAGTTGACTAAAACCATCTCTCCACTCCAAGCCCTGGAAGCTGATGGACTAAAAGCCTGTTCCAAATTCTAAAATAAATAAACCCGCACCATACAATACAAAATCAGCATTTATTGTTATCACTCAGCCTCTTCAACACAGTCAAGAGAACATTTCCTCCCAATGAGGACTGTATTTCCATATATCCCTTATGTCACCGCTCTGTTGTTATATGATTTCAGGCATACATGCACAGATACATAAATCTAATCTGCTTTTCATTCTCTGGTTATGAAGCAGATCATGACTCATAAAGCCTTTTCATAAGATGAACAAAGGCAGGACCAACAGGAAAAAGGTCTTTCCTTTAAAAACTCTGAGCCAGAAGTTGACTTCCAAGGTATTACACTACTATCCTACAAAATGAATGGGGAAATTATTTGGATTAGATATAATTCAACCTTGATCAACCTTGATTTTTTTTTCACCAGACCACAGAAATTCAAGTCAGTTATATGCAATAGAGCCTGCTTTTTTCACACATGTTTTTGTCTCAAAAGTTTAAAATCTCCATGTGTGCTCAGAGTTTCTCATGACTTTTAGAAGTGAGCAACTTTGAGACACAATAGATAACTTTTTTTAGATAGGACAGCTGTGCACTTAGAGAGTCTCTGCAGTACATATAAGCACAGGCTGTAGAGAAGCAAAGGGTAACAAGGTAACACAGGACAGCTGTACATATAAGCACAGGCTGTAGAGAAGCAAAGGGCTAGCAAGGTAACACAGGAGAGCTGGCTCTTGCGTGCTTTCGGCTTGTTAGTGCTTAACAACAGGAGCCGGGCCAAAGCACTCTGTGCATAGCTAAGCACTTCATTACCATGATGATGTTCTTACTTAAGTCCATGCAAATTCAGGCAGGCCCGTTCCCACCCTTTTTATCTAAAAGCCGTGACAGCAGAGGAGAGTTTCCTCTGCTAGACAATACCTCCTGGTTAATCTCTCTCATACCTATGCATAACTTCTGTTCTTCCAGCTCTGCAGAGCCACACCCTCCCACTGGCTGCTATCGCCCACAGAGACCAAAGCTAAATACCTCGCCTAAACTGGCAAAAAAGAAAACCAAAAAAGCCTCCTCGCGCACTTTTACTAACTCTGGGGTTTCCTTCTGTTAGGCAAACACACATTCAACTCTGTAATAAAATTGCTCTCTGAGGAGGACTTTGGGAGCAGGATTGTGAAAAAGCTAGAGCTTAGCGCTCAGTTCTGGACTAACTTCATTAATTAAAAAGAACACGGTGTAGACAACGCTCTCGGAGCGTGCTTCATTTTGCTACAGTAGCACAGTGAATACAGAACAGCTTCATTTTTACCTGCCCATTAACTCACTGTCCTTGATCAAAGTCTGTGTATACTGCCTATCGTGTTCAGAGCAGTTAAGGCTTAGAATTTAAATGGTAAACCTCAATATTTAAATAGAACTGCATATGTGATCTCTGACACCTCATTTTCATGAATGGAAAAGAATATTCTGACACCAAAATTACATACTTAATTCTGCCTCACCTTCCTCACTGACCTCCATCCCACACTGCCTTGGGTTTATTTCCTCACCCATCAACGGGTCAAAGTAATTTCTGCTGTATTCATTTCCTGTGGAAAGCACATGAAGTAAGGGTCAGCGATTATTAGAAGCACATGAACTAAAATGTTAATTTTGAAATCGACACCAGCAAGCAAAGGGGCATTTTTTGCTACTTTACAAGCTTAATTTTTTTAACAAGTCCTCTAAGCCTACTGGTACTGCAATCATCTTGTGAAAGGTCAGAAGAGGTAATTCTGGAAACAAGTGCACTTTATGTTACTTTTTCTCAGGAACTAATGAAAAAAAATTCTCACATTTAGATGGCAGAAAGATAAGAAAAATTTTTATAAATACAGCATCTCCAATATAAGTCAAATTATCCTTGAAACACACCTTACTAGTGAATTTTCCATACTGCAAAGGAATCTGTATTTCACAGCTGACCTCTTCGATTTCAACAGTTTTAAATTTCACCACTGAGGTTTCAACATCTGGTGCATCTTTAATACTGTATTGAACCAGAGAAGTGTTTAATTACGGAGGAGATACCAGGATACTGCCTCATTAATCTGAACAGCAATTATGTTCAGTTGGAGTAGGTAACTAATCCAAGATTTTGATAGGATAAACCCACCCATATTAGTATTTGGCTATTTTAACAGCTACTTTTATCTGTTCTTTAGAAAAATAAACAAATTTACAAAAAAAATAATTTCTTAGAATTATCATAAAATAATACAGTATCTAGCTGCCTGGAAGAAGTGATGGTAAAAGCCAGAAGAATTTTCCTTACACAAGCAGGGAGGGAAGGCTTTTTCCTCAAAATATGTATTTTCTTCAGCAAAAGTGCTACACCCTATTAAAACTATCTACAGGTTCACTGCGTTTGGAAACACTGTAAATTGTTATTAAACAAGGGGAAAAGAAGTAAATTAATTAAGTCCATAACAAATGTTTTAATTTCTTGAATAGACAGGGATGCATATCCTGGAAAATGCAGAAAAGCTAAACGTATGAGGATACACTACGGTTGTCTACAGTGTATTTGTTTTAGGATCAAAAATAATCCAAGCAGCAGCTCCTTTTCAGAGACTAAATGAAACTTTGATATGAAACTAGGTTTAATTTATATTTCTGGACTGGCACATTCTGACTGTCAGTCTCTGTTCCTTCAATGTAGTAAGTACAAGAACTGAAAATTTGCTTTACCTTGAGGTCTCAATAAAGAAAAAATAAATGAGTTTCATTTTTGTTACTTTATCTGTCAACAACTACTAGGCTGGTATGAATCTTGGCAGTATGTAATCAAAGTCTTATGTACTGCAATAACAGAGCCATTCTACCTTATTCACTGTAATTGTTTTTCTCTAGCACAAAGCACCATGATGTTATATGAACACCCCTTCACATGTTGGTAAAATAATTCACCTATGTGCTAAAAAAGAAAATGATGATGCATTTCTTTATTCAATTACTTCATAGCTGTAATTGTAAATTGCTGGAACGTGTTTTGCACCCATACAAACAATACTCGGTTATGGCATAGGGTTTTTGTACAATCTTACTATCACAATAACCTTTATTGAATTTTATTATCCCGTGTGAGTTTGGTGTGAAACTTTGAGGAGTAGACTTTTGGGCAACTCTTCTGGACAGAATAATTGGTATTTAGGAGGAAGTGTCATGTTATATTTATGTCTGCAAGGCATGGAAACCATTATTCAAAAAAAAAAGAGATACATTAGTGAATACATTAAATAGCTTGCTCTCTGGTGCTCTTCAAAAAAAAGAACAACCTCAACACTTTGAGGAGTATGAGATATTTTGTCCAGGGCTTTGGCTCTGTCAGAACCACACACAGCTGGTGACAGACAGTTATGCAGAAGGAAAAACAACCATCAGGCTTGATTGTTTCAGAGCAACATGAACACTTTAAAACTTACATAAGCAGAACAAGTGGTAAACAACAGAATCACCTCCTCACAGTGTTTTTACAGATAACAAGCCATTTTAAAATGCAGGACTCCACAGAAAACTTTAATTGAGGCTTTCAGAAGAGCTGAATCAATCAAACCTTAGGTCACTGCTCTGGATGGAGGATATTGCTGTTTGTGGGTTCCTTGGTTTTTTTCCCCCTCAGCTCAACACATACCTTGAGAAGTGGTGTGACCAGGAGCTCTGGGTTCTGGGCAGGTCCTAAAATTATTCAGGGGCAGTAAGATTTGCTTTAGTTTTAAAATACAAAATTATCAATTTTAGTCAACATAACACACTGCCCAAGGCATTTTGCTAATAACATTTTGTGAGCATGTGAACAGATTACAAATCATTTCACATTTGCTTTTGGAAATATTTGAAAGTGTATAACATATAAATTAACAGTCCACTAAGGAATTCACATTGCTCTGCTTTGTGATATAAACACAGTAAATGTTCATACACATCTTGCTTTTAGGTAATTTGAACGGCACCATATAGGTTGGTGCTTTCAACAGGGCAAGTTACTTTGACAACCTGCTCCCAGAAAGACCTGGCTAACTTTAGAAACTTGGGTACTTGCTTTGATCCAGAGATCCCCTCAAACCCATTAGCTCAATTTGAAGTGCAGTTCACCCCTCAAAATTGTGTTATTTCATGTGGAAAACACGATGGATAATTCAGGAAATCAGAATTTAAATGCAAATCACAAATTATCTATACATTAAAATAAAAGAGGAAAGAAGGGTGTTGGCACAACAGTGACCATATGGGAATTTATGCAGTTTAATTAAAGCAAGAGGAGTTGCTAATAAAATTAGCATAATCCTTGGATACAGCCCATGGGACTGTACACGAATTACTAGGACTGGATGAAACTTAAAAGATGGCTTTTAAACTAAGATGTCTGTATTCAATTATGCCGTCTATGTCCTGAGAATACCACACAGGAAAGGCATGACTAAGCTGAATTTCTATGTTGTCCTCTACTCCACAGAGAGATCAGGTAGTCTGTATCAATTACACATGAAAGGTATACCACAGAACATGGAAAACAGGCAATTATTGAATTTATGTTGTATTTCTGATCTAGGTTTTTAGTTTAATGAAAGCACAGACAAAACTCTGTTGGATTTGTTAAGTGCCTCCCGATCTAAGTAAAAATTAAGGAATTATCAATAGCCAGATGAATGACTACTAAAAGCTTGAATAAACAGTTACTGGTGCTTTTTTTCAGAGTGAAGCTTTATTTTCAGGGTAGGAGAAAAAAAATATGGCATAAGCCATCTTTCTTTACAAGACAGCATGCAGATTATGGTCTGCACAAACTTGCCATGGTAAGTAACAATCCCTTTTCAGACAGCAGCCTGGTCAACATGTGCCTACCGATGACTTGGGAGAACATTACTGGGCATTACTAAGGCAACTCCTAGAAGACTTTTGCATCAGATAGAAGAAGACAGAGGCATTTTGGAAAGATGAAAATCCAGCTTGAGACAGCATTTTGACCCAAAGTGCTTTTGAAACATAGTGGTGCAGCTGAGAATAGAAAAGAGTAGTCCTCCTTTCCCACACCTGACTTAAAGCATTGATTTCAGCTGCAATTCCTATTAGCGAACATCATAGCAAATACTCACATTCTCCATTCAACAGAACTGGACTTATTTCCCTGGGGATACTTTTCATTTTACTTAGCAGACAAGGCCCTTTGGGCAGCCCAGACTGAATGCTCTGTGATAATGTATTTCCCCACTTCTTTATGAGAGCCAAAGCAGTGTCCTGGGGTCAGACTTGAGTATCCTCAAACAAAAAGTGACCTCCTCAATTTGGCCAGGAAGAACCAAGACTTGGGATCAGAAGGAAGGGAAAGGGTCCCAAATTCAGCATTTCCAGCTACTTCACTCACCCTTCCTCGAGTTGTGATGGGCTATGTGTGTAGCACTCCCACCCACCTGTTTTCATGATTCAGTACCTACATTGATAAAGTTTGATATCTACGAGTTGCTTATTTGAGCCTTTTATTCTACTGTGTACTTTGAAAAAATCTATAAAGAGCTCTAAAAAATAATTCAAAAGTATTAAAGAATAAGAGAGGAGAAAGAAGACTTTCACCTTAAAAAGAATCTCACAGAATACAGAACCAAAGAAAAATCATCAGTGAAAACTGCATAAATAGTAGGAGTTCCTGCACAGTGAAAAACTGCATCAGTTTCCAGTGAATTTATAAGTTCTTAATTCATACAGGCAGTGACTTAAAAGTGGAAAATAATGTAGGAAAATTTGAAGCTTTCACAAGAAAAAAATCTGCGATTTTACTCCAAAAGTTTGTATTGCTAGAATTATCATATTGAAATGTTATGAAGATGCTAAGAATAAAACTACAGTCTTGTAGAACATTGTGAAATAATATGGAGTCCATAAAACAGTGTTTACTTTCTATTCTCATTTTTTCAAGGAAAAAAAATAATTAACATTAGTCAGAAGCTATACTTTTAGTTTGTACTCTTAATTATTATTACTGACCCAGGATATTGGTCACATTTACCTCAGCTCTTGTCCATTTGAGATATACATATCTAACAGTATTTTCTATATTATATGTATAGATAAATATTTTCTATGTAGATCTAAAATAAGATTCCTGGGGGTGCAAGTTTATTCCAGAGTATCAAATATATGGAAGAGTGGTAGGGATTTTTACACAGAGCTTTTAATTTTCATTAATATTATTCAATGAAAAATTGCATGTTAATGGCACGTCCATACTGAAGAGCATTTCGCCAGTGACTGGACAGCGGATTTTATCTTGAAAAGAGCTCGCTAAACACTAGATGACTTCCCAAGTTTTAAAAAAATATTGTAAAAGTATCACATGTCATTCTCCTTACCCTCAGCAGACCCCGTAGGTAATGAGGAAATCAGACACCTGTGTCTTATGTTCATATTGCAAGCCTTGGATAAAGTCACTTGTCAGCTTTGACAGGACACTGGCAAAGGGGCTGTTCCTGAGCCTGAGCTGTGCAGATCGTGCTGCACCTGCCCTGACCCTTGAAAAGCACCACATTGTACTCATGGCACCCACAATTTTTTA